TTTTTTTTTTATTTATTTATTATTGCTTGCTTTAGAAGAGTGGTGCTGGAAAAGTATGACATGGTGACTTTCGCTGTTTCTTTTAGTCGCTTGTTTAGTCTTGTATATATGAATGCGCATACATCTGAACTATTTTGTCTGTTTGTGTATTTTTGTTGGTTGGATATCCAAAGGAAAATAGTGAATAATTGATGCCCATATTACAGTGTTGTAATTTTCACTATATATTTGTGTATGGTAGAAGATGTTCCATAATTCTATAGTGCCTTCGTCTTCCTCTGCTGAGCAAAATCAGTTTAGGTACTATTGTACTGTTTTTCTTCTTGGGGGTTAAATACTGATGTGTTTACTTGTTCCTGTGCTGCAAAAAGTTGTTGGGTTTGCAGAATGGACCAATAGAACACCAACTTAAAAATGAAGAAATATTAGTAAATAACACTAAATTACAGACTGTAGTTCCTAAATCTGCGACACATCAGTTGCTAAAACTAAATCCTATTACTCATAAATGCTAGAACTAAGTCATCAGCTTACTAGAAAAGATTCAATTGATGGGTGACTGCAGGTATCAACAAAGCCGTACCATTATCTTTTCTTCTGATCCAAACAAATTAGAACTTTTGCGTTTGGCAAAATGGATTAGTTTTACAATGAACTGCTGACCAATCTAGATCATACAAATTTGGGTTTGTTGTATGGTTTCAACAATGTGTTTTGTCGTGGCTAATGCCTAATGATCAGATATGTGATGGTCTTCTGTGTTTCTCCCCTTTTTTATTCTTTATACTGATACAAATCAATTGTTCTAAAATTGCTTCACTTGATTTGATTTCTGCAGATAATTGATGTATTGGAATTTCTCCCTTCACATGTAGCGGTATGCCTCCTCCTATCATGTAGCAGTAGTTTCCCATGTAGCTTATCCACGTCGTAGCTGTGTTTGTGCTTTTCAGTTGTTTACTTAGATCCACAATATAACGACAAAAACACTAGTAATGGGATCGAATACTCGTCCTTACCTCCCCCGCACCCCTGAATTAGGAGAATACACAACATTTGCTTGACCCCATAGACGTGTAGACGGTGTAGTTTGATTGGGTTTTGCATGAAAAATGATTTATAACCAAATTCTGTTCTACAGAGGGGCTTATGCTGATATTGCAAAAACTAAAAAGAAAAAGCAAAGAATAGTGCATTTGCAAGAAAGACAAGACACTTATGATTCACTTTCAGTTGCAAACAGCTAAATGCATGAAATTTAGGCTAGTACGATCAAGGGAAACATAACATATAAGATAATGTCATAGATTTTGGGAAGGATTGTAAGTTCTAATAGATTATAGTGTTGAAAAGGGGTTTGAGAAAGGAAAACTGGAACAAAATTCGCCGAGGATTTTCAAACAATGATTGGAGTTGAACTCATAGGTTAAGAACTAAGGAGCACACAAATCTTAGAATGCTCTTTTTTCTCATAATATTACGTCTCTAAAAATTCAATTGAATCAGTAGTGTTTCTGGACAGCATATTTAGGATAGCATGGTGAAGGATAATGGTCGTATAGATATACTGCTTGAGACTTGTAGTCATTCACGCAACAGTGTTACCGTTGCCTTCTTACTACTATTACTATTTTCATGTGAAATATACACATCATTTATTTTCCTTATTCGATTCATGTGTCATTTGATTTATGCTCTGTTTTTTTGTGCCTTTGGCATACTGACCTGCAGCTGTAGCCGTATTAGTTCTAACAGAAGTGTTTTACTTGTGTCCCTTTCCTGTACAGGTGGTTTTTGACCATGATGGTAAGATTTACTTTTTTTGCTTATATTTGTTGTCTTTGATTGATTCCTTATTTAATTCTTAATTGTACTTGCTTTTATTTTCTTTAATTTTTACAAGCTTCTTGTGTCCCTTCTTATGTCCAAAGCTAGGTTTTCTTAGTTGAAGAGCTTGACTGCACACACAGATGACATATAGATCGTTCTTCTGTTCATTTTTAGAAGGATAGTGGTTGAATTTTACTTATTCAGATCTAATTATTAGAGGAAGAGTAACCTTATGATTTATGCTTTAACTTGGATGTTGGATCCATACATAGAAAGATCTCAGGTGTGAGTCTACCGATCTATCTATGATCAATATTGTTTTCCACATTATTTGTGTAAAGAGGTCGAAGTTAATTTCAAGCCTTTTAAAATAATAAAAATATTTTTCTTGTCTGGTAACCATTGAAGTATCATTTTACATTCCAATAGAGAACCTCTCTCACTTTGTTTAAATCGATCTAATGGACTAGCCAAAAGTTTTTTTTTTTTTTTTTTTTTTTTTTTTTTTTTT